CTGTGTCGCCCCGGCGCCCCCCCCCTGCCCCACCCCAGGCGGCGGTCAGCGGGATCCGCTCTGCAAGCCGCGGGCTGGGTCCCTTGGGAGAGCACTCCTAGCTGGCGTGCGGCTTGCGGAAAGCCTGAAGGCGCCCGACTGTGGCAACACGTAATAAATATATCGTGTATATCGAGATCGATATCGTTCGTTTAATCTCAGTTCTCCAGCGCAGAAACACCGTTCATTTACTTAGTCCCTTGAACATTTCTTGAGTGTCACGTCTTTGGAGTCATAAAGATGTCAAGGAACTCAAGGGTGGAAGTGAAAAGCAGGAGTTAAGGAAACAGATGCATTTACAAGTAACCATGATGCCTTGAGATAAGTATGAGAAAAAACGTTCTCACATAAAAAGAAAGAAAGAAGAAAGAAAGAAAAGAACAGAACAGAACTACAGAGGGGCAACCAATACAGCTTGGAACCAAAGGAGAAGGGCTCCAGGAGGGTGTCCTTTAAAAAAAGGGGAGTGGGGAAGAGAACCAGCAGACTGCAAAGTGGTTAAGTCACTGGACTACATGTAGTTGACTGTGGTTCGAGTCCTGGACCCAGCAGCTTGAAACTCAGGCCAGGCACATGTGCATGTGTGCCCAAGATCCAGAGAGGAGAATGGAGTAGAAGGGATTGCATGGTCATTCCTCCCTGGTGGGGGAGAGGGGTGATTTATTGCTTTCTGTCTGTCTCTGTTTCTCTGGTGAGTGCACATACCCTACAGCAAAAATCTCTCTCAAAGCAAAACAAAAAAACAAACCAGGCACCTGTGCATACATGCCCACCCAAGATCCAGAGAGGAGAATGAAGAAGGGATTGTAGTATGGCCATCCCCCTCTGGGAGGAGTGATTTCTTGCTTTCTATCTCTGTGAGCCCTATAGCAAAAGTCTCTCAAAAAATAAAAAGGGGGGGAACCAGCAGTTAGCGTAATGGCTATGTTGCTGGACTCCCACGTAGTCGACCGCGATTCGTGTCCCGGACCCGGTGGCTTAAAACTCACGCCGGGCGCGTGTGTGTGCGTGCCCAAGATCCCGAGAGGAGAATGGAGGAGAAGGGATTGCGGCGTGACCATCCCCCCAGGGGGTGATTTCTCGCTTTCTGTCTCTATGTCTCTCTCTGTCTGTCTGGCAAGCACACGCGCCCTACAGTGAAAATATCTCCCCCCCCCAAAAAAAGGGGGTACAAGAACATAGGTATTGCCTAATATGTTTAAACTAATGAGAAAAGGTGGATACTTCATTTACAGGGTTTGGGGGATGAGTTTATGATATACAGAAAACTTAGTAAAAGAAAAAGTTTAGGCAATTATCAACTTCAGGAAAAACAAAGGGTTGTGAAAGACAAGGAAGAAAAGCTTGTCTGAAAAATACTACTTGGAACACACCTGCAGTTAAACAGTTAGGTTTATTAACTTGCCGCAAGAGCAAGAATATACCAGAGGCACTTAGGATGACTCATCAAACAAAGGAAGAAACAGGGTGATTGCAAGATATGGGCAAGGGTTGACTTTAGGTAAAATTTCAATGAAGCAGTGTTTTGATGGGCTCAGCTAAGCATGACTATAAGTGAAGGGATCAACAAGAAGTCTGGGCTGAAGAGCAGACTGAGAGTTCACTTGGAAACTGCAAAGTTAAGATAAGCAGAGTATACAAGTGTCCAAAAATCTTTTGTCCGAAGCTTTTTGTACTTCTGTTGGAAATCCAGGCTATTTACTGCTTTGTCAAAGTGTGTATGTGTGTGTGTGTGTGTGTGTGTGTGTGTGTGTATACATATATATGTATATTTGAGAGAGAGAGAGATTTTTGCTGTAGGGCATGTGCACTCACCAGAGAGACAGAGAGAGACAGACAGGAAGCGAGAAATCACCCCTTGGGGAGAATGGTCATGTTGTAATCCCTCCTCCTCCATTCTCCTCTTGAGATTTTGGGCACTCACTCACCGGTACCCAGTGTGAGTTTTAAGCCGCCAGGTCTGGGACTCAAACCAAAGTCGACAATGTAGGATTCTAGCAACATAACCATTATGTCATCTGCTGGTCCCTAAAATACGAATATATTATTTAGAAATAATGTCAGCTTCCTTAACCACTAGGCCACAGACTGGCCCTCAACCATTATTATTTCTTAAATACTAAGAAAATTAAAAATGAAAGGGGGCGGCGAGTGGCGTGATAGTTAAGGCAGCTGGAGCCCACATGGCTGACTTCACAGTTCAATTCCCTGACCTAGTGATTTGAAAAACACATCAGGGAGGCCAGCAGATTGCGTGGCGATTAAGGTGCTGGATTCCCACATGGCTGATCACAGTTGGAATCTTGGACCTGGCAGCTTGCTTTCTCACCTTCTCTCTCTCTCTCTCTTTCTCTCTCATTTGTTCTATCCCTCTCTGATCAAATTAAAACAATAAAACAAGCAAATAAATAAAGTTATGTAGAATAATTCTTTTTTTCTTTTTGGAGAGGTTTTTTACTATAGGGTGCGTGCACTCGCCAGACAGACAGAGAGAGACATAGAGACAGAAAGCGAGAAATCACCCCCCAGGGGGGATGGTCACGCCGCAATCCCTTCTCCTC